TTATTCAACGAATTATAAAATGAAATAAATTTATTACTTTAACTTGAAGTGGAAAAAGCAATTTCTTTCTACGTAACCTATTTATTTTACAATTTATTATTGTATAGACAGCCTTTCTAACCTATTATAAATGTTAGTTTTTCTTTTAAAAGTTTGTTCTATAGTTATCTCATAATGCTATTACGGCAAGGAATAAAAAGCAATGACTTCGCTTTATCGAGTAAAATGTAATTTGATATTACTCACTTTTCCTCTGTAAATATAAATTACATTTTTTTTTTAAATAATTTTTAATATCTTAACAGGTTTACATTTAGCTTTCATACTCAATGACATATTATAAACCACTCTTCTATGTCGATTTTATTACTACCCGTTATTGCTTGTTACTTTGAATCATAATATAGTTTTACTTGACCTTTACAACTAAGTATGGTGTCTTTAACTAAAACCCACTAATAGAGCATTTTAAAAGGTCAATATTTTAAAATTATTAGATGGGTACCTACAGGCTAATGTACCTATGGCCTATTAAAAACGTATAAAATGCTAATTAATCTGGCCTTGTCGTGTAGTTCGCTCAAGTCGGAACATAATATTATATTCGCTTTTATAGTCCGACGTTTATTATATCGTAAATGGAAATATTTTTAAGTACGCTATTTCGTACATGTACGTTTATTGTTCAATAGCACGGATGCCAAATATAAATACATATCAATAATAAAAATACGAAAATAAAAACAATACACCTTATTACACGGTTTCGACGTTTTATTGCAATGCACACAAACCGCGACATAAAATATTTTCAAATGGAATTCAAACAATATAAAACTTGAATTAGCAATATCTTATACATTTCTGTGAGATAGCATAAACACTTGGACAATATAGACTTGTATACACATGAATAATGCCTTGTTCAAAAACACCAATGCTGACTGCTGATCGACACTTTAATCAGGCCTGCGAAGATTACCATAATTAAAACGTTATTATTATTGCCTATAAAGTTTATTTTACTTCTGTTCTTAGTCTTGACTCATCCAATTATCATAATATTATGGTCCGTTAATTGTTCAAATCAAAATATAAAATATAGCTTAGAATTGTATTTTTATGAAATCGTTCGTAGTGTTTGTAGGTAGTATGAACTGTAAAAATCACATTCACATATGTTATGATTTTTATTTTTTTATTAAAATAAAACAAAGAAAATCTAATATTACCATATAACCGCCCCGCCGTCATTCCACCCCGTTCGCCTATTTGTAAATCACATACAGACATATCGGTTTTTACCTTTTTTTTCTACGAATCGTATAATTTTACTGGTATTCTCTTCCTCTCAGCGTGGTATCGTGATTTGAAAGGGGACTCTGTGGGGAGGGGGTGGGGGAGAAGGCTCCTTGTATGTTTAATCGGACTCCAAACAAGAGTAGGTTTGTGACATGCAAACAGGGAAACTGCACACGCGAGGTTATGCCTATAAACCAGAACCTCACCCCAACCAAACGGTATTATTATTATTATTATTATTATTATTATTACAATACACGATAGGTAAGTACATATACACGGGAGCAGTGAAACCCGAAGAGTATAGAAATATTTGCGTTTGCCCGCTGCCACCACGCGATCATCAAAAAGCAATAATTTGCCTTTTTTTTTGTAATTATAAAAAAATATAACCGGAAAAAACATTCATGCCGAATATTATATTAATACATAAATATAAACGTATATTTTATATGGGTTTATGGTAATGAAAACGACGGTCACTTGCCCACGCCAGCGGTTTACCGCTACTTACACTATCAAATAGCACGTACGATAATACAATATTATGTTTTACGCAACTTGATGATTCTTGAAAATTGTCACCGTGAAAAAAAAGGAATTTTGGTAAACAAGTTTTTTTTTAATATCATATTTTTAAGTGCGCGACGTTTTAAAACTTGTATAATGTCGTTTAGCGATATATTCTGTCATAAAAATAACGTTGCAGTGACCCCGCAAGAACACAGCATTAAAAATTATCAAAACACTAAAAAAGGAGAGCCGTAAATTTTGTGACCTAGTCGCTTTCGGCGGTCTTTATATAAAGAATCGATTGGATGACATTAAAATTATGGGTCCCAGACGTACCATATTTCATACTAGAAATGCTATTAAATTAAGTACCGGGTACAGACAGGCCCCCGAAAAAGAAACTCTACGGCAAAGCTGCGGAAAACCTTGTTAGCCTATGACGCGGTACAACAAACAACAACAGCTGATAATAATATTATTCCGAATAAATACGGGTTTGACTAGCCTAAGTTTTCTAAAATGCTTTGGCTCATACCGTAATAATATATTTAAAAAAAACTTCATTAAAAATATATAATATTTTATCACGAATTGGTGAGTATTATAAATTTAATATATTCACGTGAATTATTATGAAAACCTCAAAAAATATTATACTTATAACATTTTTCACTGACAATTGATGAGAAAAGATTATTTTTAATAACAATAAAAAAAATGTAATACCAAAGCCTCGAAGTTCGTTGCGAAGAAAAGGTGATGCAGTTTATGCAACTTTTGTCAAGTAAATTTTTTTTTAAATAGTACAATGACGTGATTGTATTGAACATTGTTGTTTCACCACGGGAGAATATGCGAGCGCAGTATGGTGTCGCTCAGCCCATGCAAAAAAACTGGATACTGCCCTTAATGAAACGTGTAGAATAATTACGGGATGCTTAAAAAACACACCAATCGAAAAGCCATATATACTAGCCGGTATAGCTCCACCTCATATTAGACGATCAGTACAAGCAGATTGGGTAAGAACAAAAATGGAAACAGACACTAAACATGTCATGCATGGATCTATAATCCCAAAAAACCGACTCAAGTCACGTAATAGTTTTCTAAAAGGAACTATTAAGCTAAACAAAACACCATGTGAGTCTAGACTCGACAAATGGGGAAAGGAAGTCACTTCCGAAAACCAATGGATACAACCAAAGGAAACTCTATCACCTGGCTATAAGAACAAATGGCAGATATGGAAGTCTCTGAATAGACTTAGAACTGGTGTTGGACGCTGTAAAGTCAATTTGAAGAAATGGGGACTACTGGGAGGAGAACAAACGACATGCTCGTGCGGCCAAGAGTAAAGCATGGTGCACTTACTTAGGTGCCCAGAGAGCACACACACACTTGTTACGAAAAGGACCTTATACAGGCGAATCAAATGGCCATTGACGTAGCCCAATACTGGGCGAACACTGTGTGATTTTACAATTAACCGACCATGACAATACCAAAACATACTGTGATTTATATTATATTATTTATACAATTTTATATATTACCACAATACTATTAGCGTTACTATTTATTTATTTATTTATTAATTTTATGTATCCTATTGTTATTTTTTTGGTATTTATTTTTATTTATAGTTTATGCTGTTTTATGTTGCCTGACACGAAAAAAAATTGAACATTTTAAACTAATAAGACAACATATTATGCCTATTACTCGGCCAGTCTTATTATATTAACTTTAAAATAAAACATAAACCTAAACATGATTTACACAAAAGACTACGCTCAACGAATTTTTTATTTATATTTTATTTCTCCGTTGTATTCAAAAAGCGTTTTCAAAGTTTACACCGAAAGGCAAGACGTTGTATAATTGAGAAACAATGGAAGAGAAATGGCACTGGTTTGAACCATTGAAGTATGTTCAACCGACATTCATGGGACTAAGAAATTAATTTCTTTTGGTCACCTAAAATAAAGGGTTGGTGACAAAGACAATGGCGAACAATTAAGAAGAGAAATTAAGGTTTTTTTCATCTTTTAAATTATTATCTACACAAAGAAAATGATTAAAACGAACCGCGTATAAGAAAAATCGTGTGCACCCCTTTAAGTCCTAAATTTATATCCAGGATTTATGTGCTGCATAAATTGTACATACAAAATTAATGCAGTTAATAATCTAGTTTAGAAAAATAGCATTATGTTAGAAAATTAAATAACAAGTACTATATATGAACTAAAAATATTATGATTGAAACAAAAATAATAAAAACTCTTCGAAAACTATTTCTTACAACATAATATACAAAACGCAAAACACAATAAATAATCATGACTCGGAATATAAAAATTATATTGCATGGATGTTTCTTTTAGTACTACATTTTTTGTGTTTATGATGTAAATACAAAACAAGCCCATTCTTTGTGAACGATCAAAACCGCCGTACTGGGAGGTAAAGTTCAAATTTTGATAAACTTCGAAGCGTGTCCCAGTAAAACCAAGAGGCTAAAATATTTGATAACATATTTACAGTATTTACTATGACAAGTTTCAAGGACACTCTTGGTGTGTATACAGTTCCTGTTAGTCGCTTTTAAGGGAAATTGCATTAAGTATTAATGTCTTTGGCTTTCCACTTAGGCCACTCCGACGCCGCTCGCGCTACACACATAGTCCAAATTGTAAGATATGTTAAACACGCTAATGTCTTTTATTAAATTATAAACGTTACGAAAAGCGTTTCATTTTTTATCTAAATAGTTCACAAAACAACTAATTTTTAATTATTTTAAGTGCTCCCATCGTTAGTGTAAAATGTGTACAAACATGAACACATCATATTATAACACGTCAAAGGGTGTCACGATTTATGTTATCGTATCGTGGAGTTATGTGATGGCGTTTAACCACGTTTAACAAGTATAAGTAATATACCGTTGCTTATAAAATAATATAGTTTATAATGCTAACAAAAACTAAATAAATGACTCACAAACTTAATGGCTATCGATTAAAGTGGTAATTTTTAACGAGATTCTAACATTTTTGTTTTTCATTGAAAGTACTAATCTGACAGATGTACTTGGATCGATTCCACTACTGAAATAAGATGGTTTACTGTTTATAGACATTGTTATTTACTAATAAAACTCATCGTTTGTTTTTCAGAAGAATGCGACAAACCCTTGGGTATGGAATCCGGTGCCATACCGGACTCGGCAATTACAGCTAGTTCGTCGTACAATGTACCCAACGTTGGACCAAGCAACGGAAGGTAAGACGCTTGCTTACGCACTTATATACTGCTAACGGGGTTCAGATTTTTTATACAAAAAACAAGTATTTTACACTTTAAAATAATCAATCGCTCCTCCATTTTTCATAAATCAAAATATGTCCTTAATGTAAACATGGACATTTTCTAATGCAGCTAGCAAGTTTCACATCTTTAATGGTCAATTGCCAATAAAACAGTTAGCTGACTGAATTTATATCGGCGACATTCAATTGAAATGGTTTATACATTCAACATTGAAACTGAAATGCTAGCCCGTATAATATATTACCAATATAGTGGATATTATTATTATTGCAACTGCAACACTCGTTGAATCAATCGTGTTCGGTAACACAGAATATAGATATACCTCGAAAATAATATTTTTATTTACGATATTATTCAAACCATTTGGAAATGCAATAATATATAAACGTATTCGTTACAACGTCTTATAACACATCGTCGCCTTAAATTTACCTTCTTTATTGTTCACATTTATTATTTTTTTCTTTTCTTGTTTTTTTTTTTGGCACATCTTTTTTATAATAAAAGCTCTATTAGTATCGATATACGAAACTGTATATTTTATTCTGACCTAACTGTTGAATGCCAACTAGTATACATTCTGTAAGGTTAGAAACAAATGAGAACTTATCTTACAATAAATATAAAAATTAATTTACAAGTTAGTAAGTTAATTCAAAAACTTATAGTTAAGTTGGCCAATTGATCAATATTTTGAAACGCAACATTATTTTTTTGTTTATATATTTTGACAGTCGAGTTTTGACGATCCTAATTGTATGGAAAAGAGTAAAAACATTGAAACTGTAAAAAAAAAAATTAATTAACCGACCGTGAAGTTAATAATATAGAAACTGAGTATTGTGAAACCGGAATAATTACTTTTCTATCGTACCTTCATTAATTACAACCATTGGTTTTTGAGAGTAAGGCACAAAGAGTTCGAGATAAAACTAGAGTACCCACTTGCATACATGTATGACGAAATATAAACACACCCCAAAATACCACTACCACATACTCGCCATATTATTCTGTAAAGTTGACCCCTTCAAGAACCTTGCCCCTCTAAAGCAAACGCCAATTCACCGATTCAAGTGACACTTGTGTTCTATAGAATTTGAGTTTTATTAAATTAATTGTGCAAGTGCTACACGCTTGCTTACAACCAATTTTGTGGGTTCAACAACCAAATACCCGTGTACCTAATTGGGTTATAGAATAGTGATAGAGAGAGAGAAAGAGGACGAGGGAGATAACTTGGGTAATTATTAATAATTGTCAATAGTCTGTATATAGTAATGCCCTTACATCCAAATTGATATTATTCCATCACAGAAAAACATCTATTATATCAGTAAACTTTTTTTTATGGTGCCATTAAAATGTTTTGTTTCCAACATAATGATATTTTATTACTGTGTAAAAAAAACTTCATTATTGGTCAATTACAATTATAAACTGTAAAACATTTTTTACACATAAATAACTCAACATAATCATGCTTACTGTTACTCTTTCCTACTTGTGATGACTAAATGTTGCTCTTGCTCGTTTAATTTATTATAAGTTATAACAATAAGAAACCTGTTTTGTTAAAACATACTTGAGTTGAATAATTTTTAACTGTGGTTTGTAACGACTTTAACATAAGCAATATATGTTGTTCAACTAGTTCTAATAAAATAATAAACGTTGTAAGAAACTTGTATACAATTTTCATTTAATATTATGGTTTCATAAATGATTTTCAAACAGAATTCAGTTATACTTTCCTGTACATTATACATTCCTGCTATTGTGACTATTATACTTATGTACCTTACATAAGTACATACCTATTTACTTATGAAACTTACATAAAACAAAGAAAGAACAATTAAATTCAAAATGTATAAAATATTTCTCACGTCTACCCAAACAAGAGGAAAAGTAGTTGCGATAACAGTAATGTAGTTAATAACATTCAGGTACCTAATCACTTGTTTGGTATTCCTGATAACAGGATAAGTAAATATTTACTTAATTATTTTTTACTTGATTTCACAAATAAAATCCATTTCCAAGAACCTATGGGAAATTGAATTTACTAGTCAAAAATGTATGAAATCACCTACATTGTTTCATTTAAAACCTATTTAATTTATAAAAAACAAACTCTTTTAAAGCTATTGTTATAATTTTGTTTTTTTGATGAAAATTTATAAATTAAAATAAACTTTTTACAAAGAACTATTGTTTAAATGGCCGAAAATAGAATAATTATAATTACCTACAAATTCATTGAATTTGACGGTTAGTATCAACGATTTGATTGTGTTAATAATAATAAGATATCCCGAACATTAAAAAAAAATAGTTATTTGTTTTGGTCATACAAACAAATAATCTGTCTGGTAACAAAATTTAAGTAATTTGTATGAAACCCATTATTAAACGATAATTATGTAAAATTTTGATGATGGCGCGCAAGGGGATGTAAATATTTAACGAAATACTTTCCATAATGTACGGGCTTAACATAAGCACATTCTGTTCTACAACGATAATAACATGCATAAGCAGCTACTTTGAACTATAAATCGCACTTTAATGGGTACCTCGTTAAAATAACGGGTACCCTTCTCTCACCATCTCTGTGCACACTGAAGACATATTAATTAACCCAATTTTACTACCTTTTCTGCTTAAATGATTTGATCTATTTTTCGTTTGACAGCTGGATTATATTAGTTGTTAAGTACCTAAAAGTTAACATCAGTTTTTTTTCGAAAACTAAATTTTTCATTAAGCTAATTTTCTTATTACTACGGTAATAAGTATTGCAATAAACGTAATATAATAATTACTTTGTTTTACATGTACATCGGTTGTGACGAAATTCATAAATTGATATATAATATTTTTGTTTTTATTTAATATTATTTGTCTGTTTTTTTATGGAAAACACGTTTAAATAAATATAATTATAAATTTGCTTTTATAATATAAAATAAATCTCCACATGACTTTTACGTTGGTCATTAGATCTAACCCGGATTTAATTAAATTAAGCTACTCCCTGGCATTATTTCATAATTAGCAACGACTTGGCTGAGGCAACAATAAAATATCTCCGTGCTTAGTTTAAGTATGGTTGCCGCTGTTTTATAGTTATAAAACTTGGTGGACGATTTCCAAAAAAAGAACCTTAATAATTAAACAATTTACCTGAGTAAAAAGCGACTTGCGTTTAAAACCAGAGTGGCTTAACAAAACTGCACACAAAATGCTCATATTTTTAAAAAAATACTAATTCTTTACAAGAAATATTAAACGAATTTTTTTTGTGGAAAATAATAATTTTTAATTTTACCGACATTAAACTACATTATGTATAATTCAGTATTTTATTAATATAATATTTTCAGTCATTAATAGTTTTTTTTTTTTAATTATTATCTACATTTTACTAAACTTCCAATATTACTGTTTTTAACATTGCTGCATTGACTTTTTTCTCTAAAATGTCAAGTTTTCATTTTTAAATAAGTTTTTATATTTTCAGTACAACAAAAATGAAAAGATGCATTTATAATATATTTTAAGTGGATGGAAATTTCGAGAGAGAGAGAGAGAGACAGAAATGATAACGTTGAACATCATAACACAAACACATAAGATACATTAACGCCATGCTTTTTAGGACGAGTAGTTGGCGCATAAAACATTCTTTAAACTTTACTAATGTTTTGTAGACATTTGGGTATGTTTGTTTGTTCTTTAAACGACACGTCACGTAGCATCTTGTCCAGTCGGATGCGGTGAGTGACTGATGAGACGGACGGATGTTATAATATCATATACTTTATACGTCAACTGGTAAAGCCCTGGAGAACCTAAGTAAATTACACACTCATGCACACACCGTTAAGTTAGGAGGTAGGTGAGCAGACTAATACGCTAACAAGTAAACAGAGCTGCTATGCACACATTTCAACCTACCCCGTTTGTCGTTCGTCACCTAAGTGATATTCTATGTAGCCAAGTGCTAATAATTGTAAATGAGACAGACAGCTCGTAGACACAGCACTGTCTGGGTTGAGCGCGACAAGCCATCACTATCTCAAACATTGTACGGTAAATAATTCCGGTTTCGGTCGCGTCTCCGGCACGGCTATTCTGCAATAATGCGACGCTGTTCGTCGCCGTGATATTATGTTTTTTACCTGTTTTACCTGTTCATAGTGTTACAAAAAGTTTTTGACATAAGTACATGCGAGTGATTTTTCAACCCTTGTCTGCCCAAAAAACCAAAAAGCGACTAACAAACGTTTGAATAAACTGACGTCTTCGGTACATGCAATCTGTTCAAAACTTTTATTAAAGGTATTTTATTTAATAGATGGTATTTAGCTTATTGTAAGCTTATTTAAAGGAAGTAACACAGACACCAAACGTAAACAAACACTAATGATACTTTTCTATTCCCGTTCCTTTTTTAATTCATAAATATTTATCTATTTATCAATTCAATTACGCGTAGTACCTACACATAAAATAGATTGCCAAAATTTGTTATGTTTTTAAAAATTGGCATCTTATACATCTTTTGCCACATTTGTATTTTTTCCTATATTTCAAAATATTACAGCCTGATGCTTGTTGTATAATAATAATTTTTCTCCTATAAGCAGATTAAATAGTTGATTTTTACTAAATGCTCCCACTAAAATTAATACCAAACGATAATAATATTTTACCGCGGATGCACTACGGGTAACATTATATATTATATCAATGGAGAATAACATACTATACAATATTTTGTGTAGGTATTTATTATAAGCCGAACGTAATCACTCGATACTCTGCGAAATATATGCGCACTAGGTCCTTTTTAAAATGTCCGTTGAATAGACCGATTAACCGTGTGTATGTATAAAATCCCTGGGATTTCAATTGTCAGCGAGCCAATATAATATATCATT